GTTTCCTCTGTGTATTGCCAAATAATCCGTGGCAGAAACTCAATATTGGTTTTTGAATTGAACTGAATTGGCTCAATACCTTAGAATAACTAAATCCCCACTATATTACCAGTACTTTACCCCATTGTCCCCATTGGGTTCCTTTGACAAGCAGTTCACTTACACCCGAGCAGTAATGAAAACCATACAGAAATCTTCTCTACCACAGTAATCATTGCTCTGGCTTTTTGAAAACCAAAGGTTGGCAAACTGACTGGTCATCAATTATGGTGCCTGGGGTGATAGGATTCCATTACTACTCTGTCTGCTTACAACGATGATCGGATATTAAGTTGTTCTCATGCAAGGCAGACCCAATTGCCTTGGGACTTGACTTTTCCATAATGACTATCTTTGGAATAGTCTCTCTGTTATTGTCTTGCCAATCAGATCTCTTATTGTCAACTTGGGAGATTTGTAGTCAAATGTCATCCTCCCTAGCACTCTAATCCTTGCCAACTTGGATCGAATCTTGGGTTGATGAAGACTTCCTGTCCTTTGTCTGTGTCTGCATTTCACAAGGAATTCTGTAAGGTACCCACCTGAGCTCTTTTGGCCTGGAGCTTTAACATTTCTATGAACCTAGTCCAGAACTGAAGCTATATTATTTTAATGGTTTCAGATGATCAAAACCCGATATTAAATGCTTTCAACATGATAATTCAAAATAAAAAAAAAAGGCACCATTTTAAGAAGCCTCATAACATGGGACCAATAGCGTAGCTAAGGCCAAATGGTGTAGAGGCTGATGGCAAGAAGAGCATGGTGAGTGGTAAAGAGCAGGTTAAGAGTCAGGGACACATCCCAGCCATCCTCCCGTTAGCTGTGTGATCTCAGTGTTTCTGTCTCAGGTTGTATCTCTAGACTAAGAATGATAATATTATTGGAAGGAGTAAATGAGATATTTGCACATATGTAATGCACTTGGCACAGTTTCTAGCACAACTAGAACATAGCAAATGTTCAGTAAATGGTAATCATCACTATCTTCAGTAATATGGGATCATTTCTAATAAATAAGGAGTTACTCAAATGTTTTTGACATGAATCATCACTGTGTTAATTTGTTCATTCTGTGAATCTGTTTACCGGATGTAGTTTTGAATGTAGGTGAGGTCTGGAGCTGAAGGCCAAGAAAGAATTCATGAGACGTCTTTGGTGCAAAAAGGTGGTTTTATTAAAGCACAGAGCATGGGGACAGGACCCATGGGCAGGAAAAACTGCCCTGGGGTCATGAAGAGCGGCCCCCTAGATACTTTCAAGTTGGGAGGGGGTTAGGGATGGTGTAAGCCTCCCAGGTGTTTTGGAAACAAGGTTTCCAGGATCCTGAGGGGGCTAGCAATTGTTGGGAAAGGTCATTTATTATTGTTTAGCAAACCCTCAGTCATGAGACCCTTCAGATGTCTATCGGTGGGTCATATGCTTGGAGGATGATTGCCAAGATGTATCTGGGGGGTAGAGATAAAGGAAGTTTCCAAAGGAATATGTTAGACTTATAGGATCCTGGGGGTGGCTAAGATTGCCTTTTGCCCTTAGCAAAGTATTAACATCGAGGCAGCTGAGTCCCTAGAGGAAGGTCACTCTGCCTGTTCCGAGGACTTGTCAGTGGGCTGTAGGTAGTAAGGAAATGTAATAATTTTTCTTTTTGTTTTCATACCCTCTTCCAGGTAGTTCTGTGAAAGAGGAAGCAGTGGAGCTGCAGTGTAGAGGAGTGCCTCAGCTTACCTCCTAGTGGGGATTAAATAGTATGCATGGGAGAATAGCATACATTCTTTTAGATTAGGTCCTAGTATTAAACTAATAGCTAGAAACCAGACCCATTCCTACCAGTACGTGTCACTTCAGTGGGAGTTTTTCCAAGGTTAGCCAAATCTCTGCCTGCAAAACACCAGCGGACTTGTGTGACGTGATTAACTTTCTGAAAATCACCAAGTCCCTGTCTTTGTGGGTCAGGATTTCTGTGCATCCTTAGAGTCCAGCCCACCGTGCAGGTCGCATCTCCTCTGTGCCAGGCCCTGTGCTGGTTATTCTCACAGTTTCACTCTTCATCTTCCCAACAACGCTGGGATTCCCAAAAGCATTAACTTCCTCACTTTATAGGTGCGAAAACTGAGATCAGAAGAGTCAGGTCACGTGCCCCAAATGGAGTTGTTGGAGAGTAATTATTGGAGAAGCAGCAGCGGGGGAGTTACTCCAGCTCCTTCTTACCACAGTTATTTATTTTGTGTCAGTTATTTGTCAGAATAATTTTGAATGTCCTTATTAGTATAAAAACATTTCTTAGCAGGACCCAGGGGCCCAAGGTAGCAGCGTGAGCATCAGGGCCAATTAGCTACTGGGAGTAAGACAGTGGGGATTTTACGTGAGGAATTTATATTTGATAGAAGCCTTTTGGCAAAGTAATTGAGAATACGAATAAAAGGGAACGAGAAAATGTAGTGTTTTTTAGACTTGCAAATACATTTGAAAAGGTTAATGTTGTGTTTTTCTGAAATGGAGGAATTCTTCGATCTTGAGGGTTTTTTTTTAAAAAATAAACAGTGCAAAAATATCAGGGCATCTCTCTGGATTGTCTAAACAGTGTGATGGGCACTGCAAGTCATCAGCACTGCGACCACACTTACTTTAGCATATTTATAAATCATCTGAGGAGTATATAGTGAAGTTCCAGATTTGTGAAAACCACTAAACTCCAGGTAGTGAAATACCAAGCCAGCTAATATAAATGCAGAAAGACAACACAGGGTTACGCAAGTAGGCCAAATTCTGGACAGCAGATGGGCTTCTACATGGACAACTGTAGGGCAAGGAATTTAGGGAGAAGTAATACAAACCATCCTTCCAAGATTAAAGGGCTTTGAACTTCAGCTATAACGAAGTCAGTGTATATTTTAGTCCCTAGTTATGCCTACTGCAGCTAAAAGGCCAGCCAGAAATCAGGAGTGCTTGGAAAGGGACATTTAAAGGGGGCCATTAAAAGCAAAAAATAGTTTCTGGCTGAAATGTGAAGCCATGGATCGCTTATACCTGGAATGTTGTGAGTCTTTTGTTCCACAAGCCTTAAGCAGCTCTGACAGGGCAGGAGAAGGTGCAGAGATGGACTCGGATGAACTGTGGGGAAGAGGAGCTGTTTTATGGAGGCCAACTGCAAAGATCAGGGGGAAGGTTCACAAAATCATAGGGATACGGTACATGTGGATGCTCACCTTGATTAACAGTTGCCATCCCCATCATCGGTAGACATGGGTCAGAGAGTAGATATGAAAGGAATAGAGCATACTGCTGGTTTAAAATCTGAATCAGTTTAGGCAGAAAGGCCAATAGGCTAACTGACAAAGAGGCACATAAAAATTCAAGATAGCATGGGATGAATGCCAAGGAAATGCCTACCTCTCCCCTTTAAAACTCGAGAAGAGAGATTTTTTTTTTAGGTCACTTACACTAGGGGTAGTATACTTTAGGAACTAGTAACCCAAATAGTCCCAGTTCTGTCCTAAAACTACAGATTGGCAGAGAAGAGGTAAATGCATTTCTTACGAATGGATTTATAATACCCTGTTTTAAAAAGTCAGTAATATTTGGAGATGTGCCCACACTTTGCAGTTTACCTTGGAATAAAACAAGTTTTGGAATCCGGCAAACCTGTTTCAAATCCCAAAGCCACTGTGTACTGGCCCTTAGATAGGTTACTTAACCACTCTGAACTTTAGTCTCCTCTTCTGGAAAGCAAGAAGAACCCCTTCCTGAGAAGGATTTTGGGATGGTGAAAGGGGTAGCATTTGTAAAGCTCCAGGAGGGGATGGGGACTGAGACTGTCTGAAAGTCTTGGTTCCCTTTGTCAGCTCTTCTACAGTGTGCCCTTTGTAGCATCATCAGACTCTGGGGCTCCTCTGAGTCTTCCCCCAGGTGGGCAGTGTTTGATTCTCACCCTACTCTGCAACTTTCATCGACATTAACATTCATTGTGTCATATTCATTGAGCCCCTATTATATCAAGCATTGCTTCAGGCATTTGGGAAATCATACTGATAAAGATAGACCAGGGCCCTGCTTGCAGGAAGTTTACCTGGGGGAGATGGGGTACACACACACACACACTCTGAACCTCTAAACAAAGTCATTTCAGAGAATGTTAAAAAGAGGATCATAGGGTAGAGTGGGACAGGGGTTGAGGACATGGTTCTTTTAATGAGAGGAGGGAAAAGGCTTTTGTGAGGAGACAACATTGAGCTCCAGAGAGATGAGAAGGTGTCATCTGAAAATCTTGAGATGAGAGTTCCAGGTAGTTGGACAAAAGGGATAGAGGTCCCAAGGTAAGAATGAGTACGGAATGTTCAAGGAGCCGAGAAAACCAGTGTGAGGCAGAGGGCAACCAGCCCTATTGGGCTTTGGAGCCAGGTCAGGACTCAGATTTTATTTTAAGAGCAATAGAGGGGTACCTGGCTGGCTCGGTCGGTTAAGCATCTGCCTTCAGCTCAGGTCATGATCCCGGGGTCCTGGGATCGAGTCTCCTGCATCAGGCTCCCTGCTCAGCGGGAAGCCTGCTTCTCCCTCTCCCTCTGTGAGCTCTCTCTCTCTCTCTCCCTTAAATAAATAAACAAAATCTTTTAAAAAAATAAGAGCAATAGAAAGCTATTGGAGAGTTTTCCGCTGGTAAGGGAAAAGACTTGACTTACCCTTTAGAAAGTGCTGTGGTTGCTGAGCGGAGAACTGGACTCTAGGGCAGCTCGAGCGAAAGGAGCAGTGTCCCTGCTCTCGTTTCCTGCCCCCAGGCCATTGCCACCCTGGCCTCTGCCCATGCCGTTCCCATCATTCCAGACTCGAGGGCCCACTCTGACTTCACACCACACCTCTCAGGGGGCAGAGGTAACAGCGCACAGCCCTTCACTCTTTCCTCTTTTAAGACATGTAAAATATTTTTTCTCAAACGAAATATTTAACCCAAATATATGTCGTTTCAGGTTTTAAAAATCAATTTGATTGGCCACAGGAAACGTATTTTGGCATCTCTGGGAGACAGGCTGCACGACGATCCACCCCAGAAGCCCCCTCGGTCCATCACCCTCAGGGTAAGTGCCCAGCTTGTTCGTTTTGTTCTCCACTCTTATCCTCAAAAATTATCTTGTGTAATAAAATAAAATGACCGAAGCAACGGATCGGGAAGTTCAGGCTGTTTTCCATGTAGCTTACCTTATTTGTATAAAAAACAATCTCACTTTTGATTGTATTTTGTAAGATGAGATTTCTTTTTTCTCAATTGGTTAAATATCTATTTTTGAGATTTTTAGATGTACGTCTGACAAACCACCACCTTTAAAGAACCGCTCCCTCTCCTCCCTTCCCACACTCCCATCTGCACCAAGTGAGAGGAAATGAGTTTTCTGTCAAACTCCTCAAACCCACAGAAAAGAAATCAATCGAGGAAGGAAGGATCAATTTAAAGTTCATCTTAGGGTCTCCTGGTTTTCAGGCAGTGCAAGCTTGTCAGCTTTAGCCACTTCAAAAATTAAGAATAAAGAATCTAGAGAACTTTAAGAAACTATTTCAGCTACGTTTCAGGATTATGGGGCAGAAAAACTAGAGAGAGAAACCACAGAAGGGAGAGAAAACTGAAGTGGAAGGAGAAGGAAGGCAGGAAGGGAAGAGGAGGGAGAACAAGAAAACGAGAGCTGATCGCCAGCAAGATAGCTGAGGGAAGGGGCCGCCAGTAGGCATGGGTGTTCTGTGAGGCCTATTGGAACTTTTCAAAAACTCTGGATCTCCATGGCCGCTTGGAGAGTTCCAGCTCTGTTCTCTTCAGTTAGTCCTGCACTTGCTTCTCATCCTTTTTCTGCACGTGTCAGCAAAGGTGGGGATAGCAAACAGTGCACAGGGGCCCGGCACTTGGGCGGAAGCCCCAGCCACGAAATGCCGTAGAAAGCCTCATCAGTGAGCTCCAGCAAACAGCCTCCCGGCTTTACCGCCAGCACAGCGGAGGGCCGGGCAGAGAGGGGCTGTTAAGATTTTGAGTCTGATTCCGTTTTTAAAGGAGAAGAAGATGCACAAGGATGTCAGGGAATGCAGGGGATGTGGCTGGAGGAGGGAACCAGGAGGAACATGCTGGGCAAATTGGGACACACTGGGACATTTGGAGACTAGTTGGGGGCTTTGGGAGCAATGCAAGTAGAAATAGGACCTACTTTTCTTTCTAGTAAGGGAAGCCTCAAGTAAGTCAGGAGGGAAATAAGGCTAGAAAGGGATTATGTCTTACCTTCATTTCGCTGCACGAAAGGAGGGAAAGATGTCCGTGCCATCAGCGCAAACATCCTAAAATGCCTCTTTAAACAAGCAACTCCTCCTGCTTATGCTGCTGTCTTTCCTTCCCCTCCTGAACCTCTCCCTCTGTTTCCCTGGAAGAGATTTAGGAGAACAACAAACAGATCAAAGACAGAGGTTTCCCCAGAAAGAGTGCAGCATCTTAATCTGTCAAAGGAGGCCCAGAACATCTGGGGGAGAAGTGGCCTGGAGACCCAGCACAATCCAACCCTCCTCTGACTTGCAGACACTGGAGCCCAGCCTTCTGCCGCCCCTTGTCTTCCTTCCGACCAGTTTCCCTCAGCTTGAGTCATCTTTGCCGTTGACACACATCCTCTGTCATTATATGCATTGCTCTGCAGTCCGCGTGTGACATGCTGTGTCTCCATGCTGTGTCCTCTTCCCCGCCCCATTGCCACATCACCTTTTGATGGCGAATCAAGACCCATTAGGTCCCACCGGGGCTCTCTGTTCATGTGTCTATCACAGTGAGGACACTCCGTCCACATGAAAACGTACTTCCTTCCTGCGTCCACACACGGCGGTGACATCAGGGGTGCCCGACCTATGTCTGTCTCGCTCCTGAACTCCTCCGTAGCACTGGGTGCGAGAAAACAGAGCCTGATTGAGTATCCTTGAAGCTTTTGACCTGAAATACTTAGGGGGAAAAGTGTTGCCTAGATCACGCCATCAATAAAATGGCGGGACGTCATCCATTCCTTGGCAGTTGATTCAGAAATGACTCCCCCACCCCCGCAATTTGTCTTGTCAGTATTTCACAATTGTGAAAGCAAAGGTTAGCCACAAGAACATGGTATTTATTTCATGATGTATTTCCATTCAGGATCCCAGTGGTAATCACACTCCTCCTCAGTTGTCTCCATCACTTAGCCAAAGCACTTACACCACTGGTGGCTCCCTAGACGTTCCTCACATTATCATGCAGGGCGATGCAAGGAGGAGAAGAAATGAAAACTACTTTGATGATATTCCCCGATCAAAACTGGAGAGGCAGATGGCCCAGGTAAGGTGTTAAAAGCCTCTGTGATGTTTTTGCCTTTCCCCCATATCAAGTAATGCGTTCTGATATTGAACACTAGCTCACAGTGAGCGGATGCCTGTTGTCCACCCAACTGGGATTTTACCATTTTACGCTCTGGCTTTCATTCCCTACTCAATTTGAACCAGACCGAAACAGACCTTCCCGGGAATGGAATGTATACACAGATCCTTGTTATCCATTCTTACGGGAGAAATTGTCTGATCTCGTTGCACCCAGAAAGTCTTTGGGCCACAGGGAGTCATACCACGTACGAATCGACTCAAAATGAAAATGAAAAATAAAAGTCTGGGTTATAAAATGTAAATCGGTTAGATGACAGAGCAGAAGTCGGAGGGAAATATTAGTGCCTCGTGATGTTGTTAACTTCCTTCCAAGTTAACATACTTGTACAGAATTGCGTCGTTTCGTATTGTCACCTTGAGGAGTTGAAGGTGATGATGCTGCCTGACACAAAGAACTGAAAAAAGAAACCTTTCCTGTTCGGAGCTTTCCATGGTTTTGGTAGAGATGTCCTTGTCTAGCCTGCCCTCAGACTGCTGCTCAGAAACCTGAGTCAGCCATGACCAAACGGCCGAGCTGTTCCTAACATCCATTCAGAGGGACAGCTAGCTCTAGAGTTTCTCTGAGAATTCAAGATTTGGATTTGTTCACAACGACTGGCAGAATCAACTCTTTCATCCTCCTCCTAGGTTCAGACTGGTGTGTTAAGAGGCTTCTCTCTGCCTCCCACACCTAGGATGAGAATCTTAAGGTGAAAATTCAACTGTAATTGCTTTGCTTTGCTTGTTAAATATTTTTCTGACCTGTTTGGTGAGATTCTGTTTTGAAAAGCCTTTGGTAAACATTCTGTGCTGCCACTCATGAAAGAAAAATGTGAAGAGAATGTTCTGGAAACCATGGATATTCTGCCTGCAAATGCCCTGGAGAGAGAGGGTCTGGTATACTGCAACTCCTTTCAGCTCTCTCAGTATTGAATTGTTCTCTGGGTTCTTTGAGCAGGGAATGGCAATGTTAGGATTACGGACAATCTTATATTGAAGAGAGATGAAAATGTACGAGATACAAGAAATGAATAATTTTCCCTTTCTCTCTTGTTAAGTATTAGCTTTTAATCCTTATTTCTGTTTTCACTGATGTTCTTTTAAAGAACAGCTTTTTCCCCAAGCTGTTCAGGTATTTCCTGCTCCTTGTTAGTATTTGTGGATCACATATCTGGTTAAATTTCTCTAATGACAGCATTTCAGAGACATGGTTTGTTTTAACTTTGAGCCATGCCGTCTTTATGTATGAGTACAAACTGGGTCTTTTCTGAACCTTTCCCTTCCCTGGGTAAAGGAGGATCCTTCGCTAAAGACCATTAGCTACTAGTGACTCTCCCAACTTCAAAAGCAGAATCACCTATCTGAGATCCTCATATAATCTATGAAATTTCTGCACGTAGTATAGTTTTTTCAAAGAGGAAATGAATTCCTCCTCTGCCTGCATGTGAACACTCACGGGTAACCTAGCAAGATTGCCTCCTTACCTTCTCTTCTTCATGAGATTCATAAGCTAGGGCCGGTATTGAATAGCCCAGATGTTTTTCCTGTCACTCCAGTCAGAAGGCATCCCTTTGAGGAATGGTCTCACCCTCGAGAAAGTTGAATGAACTTGTATCTGTCCAGGTGAGAAAGGTCCAGAAGCAGAAAGGGGCTGAGATAAGCGGGTGGATGGACGTGGTGAGCCACGGAGGGTCTGTGTGGACATGCTTCTTTTCCTCACGGGTATGCTTGCTGTGATCGAATGACTGGCATGGACATAGGCCACCATCGGCAGCCAGGAGCATATCAGACCTTTCTGAAATCCTGCCGCTCAATACAGCACTTTGGCTGCAGAGAAAATAGGAGATGGCACTGCAGGAATCTGATCAATAAGAAAAAAGGATTCTGGGATCACAACTCTTTCGGTTGTGTTAATTGCAGTTTTTTATTTGTTTCTCTTGAGAATGTTTCCTAGTCTAGAAATGCCAAAAATTGTGGAGAAATGAATTTGTACCTTTTAAAAATAGTTTCAAAACCTTAACCTGTCAAAATACCAAATACTCAGTGATTTTGTTGTTGAACGGTTTTATTTAAGTGCTTTTCTACCACTCAGCCACTCAACTGATGCTTTTTCTTATCCTTCCTTTTCTGGTCATTTGCTATATGGTTTTTTAAATCCATTTGCTTTTTTAACAACCTGTCATATCCACTCTAGATCACATTCTTCCCTGAGGTTATGTGCTTAGCCAATAAAACTGAGTCTTCCTAAAGACTTGAACTAGAAATTAAAATTTCAGTAAGCAAGCAGCTAGTTATACCTCCCTCTAACCAGGAGCTCGGTCCCTGAAGTTCCTTCCCAGAGACTTTCTCCCAAGAGGCTTAAGTAGCGTCGATAAGGCTTTCCTAGCCCATCTGTTTCCCCCCAAATGATAGAAGTCCATTTTCAGGCTTTCTTACTTAAAAGAAAGGAAAATGCAATTAATAGAAAATCACCAGGCCAGATCCATGTTCTCAGAAACCCCTCTACTTCAAGTAGCAGAGTGATCTGGAATTCTAGTCATAGGCCAGAAACCTTAAGTTCTTGGTGGTGGCAGCAATTCAGAGGAGTGTTGCCTTCTTGAGGTCTGCTCAGTAGATGTTTGGAAGTGCTTTGCTTCACTTGGAAAACCAATGCTTGAAGTTAAATTGAGATGAATTCAGTGTCCCCTCCACTATTAAATTTGTTCATTGGCAAATGATTTTCGAAAGTAACACTAGGGTGATGTTTAATTACTTGTGTTCAACTTGAACGAATATGAAAAATACCTGTCTTGGAATGCAAAAGATTTTAACTATTGTGGCTGTTCCTTGCCTTTATTCTGATATAAGCAATATTCTGGCATCAAATCATCTTAAATAAATATGTGAGAGACAGAATTGAGTTCAGTACCAAGAACATTTTTTAACTCACTGAACGAAATGATATAATCACATCTAAACAATGGGTTTCCATCATGCTGAAAACATTGCTTTTCTAAAGTTCTAAATTGGACTCATTAGCTCAGAAGCTCTGCAATGCTCCCACATTGGCATACCTCTAATAAATGAATGTTGCACTCACATTTGTATAATAACAACTTAGAGCTTTTAAATTTTCAAAGTGCTTTCACATCTGTTACCTCATTTTAGTACAAACGAACTATCCCACACAACTACTCATGTGCATATTGCACACAGCAGATAAGTTTCTCAGTCCGAGTTCTGTAGAGATGAAAAAGCAAGTGAAAATATGGAAAATAGAACAGAAGGGGGACAAATATTTCCAGTATTTAGGGCCGACTCACAATCTTTGGAAATTTTCTTGAGTGATATTTAGAAGTCAGAATACTCTTGGGTGCCTGTGTGGCTCAGTCGGTTAAGTGTCTGCTTTCGGCTCGGGTTGTGATCCCAGGGTCCTGGGATCAAGCCCCACATCGGGCTCCTTGCTCAGCGGGGAGCCTGCTTCTCCCTCTGCCTCTGCCATGCGCTCTCTCTCTTTGTTTCTCATGAATAAATAAATTAAATATTAAAAAAAAGAATACTCTTAAAATGAATAATAAAGGAAAGTAATGGAGCTAACAAAGACTAGAGACCACATTCCGCAAAGTTACAAAGAAAGGAAAAGGGTTTCCCAATATGAAACTTATCACCACTTATAGGCCTTCATTTACAAAAAATACTTATGGAAAAATATAACGATGCTTCTATTTTCACAAAATAAAAAGGGCTCCTAAGTAGTAAGAGAAATACATATCTTTGCACAAATTTTTGCTTGATATTAATGAAGAAAATCCATCATGTAGAAGTCCTTGTGTTTGGAAGGCTCTCATCTAAATAAAAAGGTCAGTATTGGGGGGCAGTTACCTTATCTGATGCACACAAACCTGAGAAATAGACATTATCCACATTTTGAAGACAAGGAGACTGCGAAACCACATGACTTGCTTGCTCGGGGTCACACAGCCAGAAAGAAGTCAAATCAGAACTTGCCTGGGGATCATGTAAGACACTGCAAAGGCTTTGGGTGAATTGCTCCTCAGTCAGTAGAAAGTTGATTCAGTTGGAAGTCTAGTGTTTCTTGATCCAAGCAGTATTACTTAATAAGTACAAGCGATCAGTTACTTCTTTATTTGAAAGCATTTTACATATTATATGAGTTCTACAAATGTCCGTTCTTTTGATACCGTTAAAAGAAGAGAAATGGAAACAGGGCCAGATAGAAGCCCTGTCGTGGCCAAATGAGTGCCTGGGAGTCCATGTGCTTTATCTTATCTAATCCTCACAATGGCATATCCTGTGCTCAAGCAAGCCCAGGTGGGTGAGAGGTTTGCCACACGGTTGGCGTGTGGCAGAGCTGGGACTCACGCTTTGCCTACCTGACCATATCCTGGTTCCTCTATGGCTCTTGATACCCTGTGGTAGCTGTCTTAAATGATATAAATATTTTTACATGATATAAAACATGTTAATAACAGTTCAACAAATACAAATTTCCCCTATGCTAGGATAGATTACACTTACGTAGGCACAGCAAGCAGAATGAGAATAAAATCACTAGCAGTTTAGTGGAAACTTATTGAATCCGCTTTTTTATGTATCACCATAAAACCCTTTAATGCAAAAGTATAATGGTTATTTGTTGAGCCTTTTAGTGGAGACCCCTCTCTGCACATCTTGGCAGAGCTCTGCCCTTCACGCATGTTTGTGAAAGCTTTGCACGGAGGTATGGGGCTTACAGCGCATACAGAGACGTCCTTGGGTGTGTTTCTGCAAACAGTGAGACACTGTTTCCTTAGCGGCTTCTTCAGTCGGAGTTCTCATTTGCTTTCTCTCTGGCTGTGCGACCGTACCAAGTCATGTGGTTTCTCTGAACTTCAGCTTTCTTTCTTTCTTTTTTTTTTTTAAGATTTTATTTATTTATTT